GGATCAGGGAAAAGGATCAGGATCGGGGGTTGGGACCTAGGGACTGGGATCAGGGATCAGGGAAGGGGATCAGGATCGGGACCAGGGATTGGGATCAGGACCAAGGATCAGGAAAAGGGATCAGGATTGGGGATAGGGGATTGGGACCGGGATAGGGGATCAGGGACAGGGATCAGGATCGGGACCAGGATCGAGGATCAGGGAAAGGGATCAGGATCAGGGACCAGGATCGGGGATTGGGATCAGGGAAAGGGATCAGGTTCGGGGATCAGGGACCAGGATCGAGGATTGGGACCGGGACTGGGATCAGGACCGACCAAGGATCAGGGAAAGGGATCAAGGATCAGGATTGGGATCAGGGATCAAGACCAGGGATCAGGGATCAGGGACCAGGATCAGGATCAGGACAGGTATCAGGACTGAGATCCAGGATCAGGGATAGGGATCAGGACCAAGATCCAGGATCGGGGCCAGAACTGGAATCAGGAATTGGGGACAGGGATCAGGACCGAGTTCCGGGATCAGGGACAAGGAACAGGGACTGGGATCAGGATCGGGACTGGGATCAGGACTGAGATCCAGGATCAGGGATAAGGGAAAGGGATTGGGACTGAGATCGGGACCAAGATCCAGGATCGGGACTGAGACTGGGGACAGGTACCAGAGACAGGGATCAGGACCGGGGATTGGGATCGGGACCAGGATCAGGGGCCGGCACCAGGCAAAGGGCACCAGGGACCAGGTACCAGCACCAGGGACAGGGTATTGCCACCGGCACCGAGGACCGGCACTGGGAACTGGCACCAACTGCAGGCAATGGGCACCAGGAAAGGGGCTCTGGCACCGGGAAGGGCAGGGGAACCGGGCGCAGCACTGGGCATTGGTACCGGCAACGGCAACGGCCACAGACACTGCCACCGGGTACCGGCGCTGGGAACCGGCCAATGGGCAGAGACAGCACCAGATAACAGGCACCGGGCACCACACGGCACCACGCAAGCACCGGGCGCTGCCGGGCCACGCACACAGAGCGACAGGGCACCCACGTCCCACACCGGCACCTGGCGGCAAACACCTTTATTGTAACCAGAGCAGGCTCCAGTGCCAGCGGAGACGCCCCAGCACAGTCACCGCGATTTGGGGCGCCCAGCCCAGCTCTGCCGCGTGCCCACCATCTCCCCGGTGGCAAAGGTGTGAGGAAGAGGAGGGCCCTTTGCCGGCTCTGGTGTTGAATCGCTGGCGGTGCGTCGGCACCTCTCCCGTGCCGGGGGTCTCGTGGGCAGCTCTGGGAAGCCCCCGGCACGTCCCCCAGCCAGCGTGGTGCTGCAGCGTGCCAGCACCTTGCTGACCTTGACTTCACACAGCCCCTTCCCTCACAGTTGAGCCGGGGGCTCCTCGTGCTCCCTGGCGGAAGGAGGAGCTGGGCTCTGGTACCATGGGGAGCGCCGGCAGACACGGCCCCGCCGGGGCTCATGCCAAGGACCTGAAGGTGCTGAAGTGGGGTGCCGCAGGGGGGGACGCCTGGGGGTATCTCTGTGGGGACGCCGGGGGTGTGCCGGTGCCATCAGCGGCTCCTGGCTGCGCATTCTTGCCGGGGGGGGGAGAGGTGGGGGTGAGCCAGGGCAGCTGCTGGCAGCCGGACGAGCCTGTGCCGCTCCGGCAGGCGGGCAGACCCCAAAACCAACCCCGCGTGGGCACGGGACCTCCCATCCGCCCCCACTCACCACACTGACGGCATAGGCGCAGTTGTCATAGGAAAGCTCTGTGGAGAAAAAAGGGGACGGGGACGGTTTTAGCGTGCTGGGGGCTGGGGGAAGCGGTGGCACCAGCCGCCGAAGGGGCACAGCCCTGGCACAGGGTGGGTCTGAGCCTTACCGGTGGTGGGGTACCGCGTTTCCATCCAGCAAGACGCCTGCTGCCTGCAAAAACAAAACCGGTGGCAGCATGGCGGGCAGGGGCGCGCACGGGCAGGGAGGAGGCAGCGGGGAGCCTGGCACCGTGGCTCGGCCGGGGGGTCCCAGGGAGCTTTCGGCACTGGTTTAGCTGCGGCGGCGCCGGCTCCGAAAGCTCTCACCTCTTTGCCCGCTGTCTCCTGGCCTCGACTGGCGAGAGAGAAAACAGAGACGGGTGGAGGCGCAGCCAGGCTCAGACACCAGAGCCGCACAGTGATGCCGGGGGGGACCCAGCGGGTGCCTTAAACCCGGTTCTACCCAAACCACAACCCCCTCTGGGGGTTCCTGCTGCCGGTGACTCGCCCAGAGCCGGTGAGGACCAAGAAGGGATCTGCCTGATGGCACCAGCACCGGCACCCTCGCCCGTGAGGCAGCACTGAACCGTATGCCGCCCCAGTGGGGACATCCGAGGTGCCAATCCCCGTCGGCACAGCCGGTGCTCACCAGTTATGGGACCCCGCTGGCACAGCCACACCAGCGAGAGTGCCCACACCCTACGCACCTCGACAGGCCACCACCACTGCCGCTGCCAGCAGCAGCAGCACCAGGACGGCCACACTGACAGCAACTGGGAGAAGCCAGGAACGATCTGGAAGGGGAGAGAAAGCGGGGGGTCACCCGCAGGAAAACCCCCGGCACGACCACAGAGGACCACTGGGAACAAGACACCGACGCTGTTGCCGAGCTGGGCGGGTCCCCCGTGCCGGTACCTTGCCGCAGAGTGGTGGAGGTTGGCAGAGGAGGGCCGGTCGGGGCGGCGGTGGGGGGATGACAGCCGGTGTCACCTGAGGCTGGGGAGAAACACGTTGGGTTTGGGTCGGCGGCGGCCCCAGCGCACTGCGGCCACTGCGCCGTGGCGGAGCCCCTCATGGCTGTGGGGAGGGGGTGCCCCCACCCACCTACCCCCGGCATCCCACCACCCGCACCGTTCACCACAATCTCCATGCTGAATGCTGACATCTGCCAGGCGCTGCCGTTATAGCTCCGGTACCTGCACCGGTAGCACCGGGAGGCCAGCGCGGTCCCATCCAGGGTGAAATCAACCTTGTGCTGACCCGGGTTGGCGGAGACACTCTGCGTGGGGACATCGGCACCCGTCGCAAAGAGCTCGAAGGTGCTGCCGGTGTAGCTCTGCGGGGCGAGGCAGCTGATTTTCAGGGAACCCCCGTCCTCTTGGAAGAGGAGCCCGAGCGGCGGTGGGGAGAGCCTCGGCACTGCCATGGCTCCTGCGAGAGAGGGAACAGGGAGCCGGATGCGACCGTCAAGCGACTGGTGCGGTGGTGAATTCTAGCTCGACCAAGCCAAGCTCAGGTGGAGGCAAGGACAACATACCTGCCACGAAGAGGAGAAACTCCAGCCTCATCCTCCTCCTCTTCCTCCTCCGGGGTCTGGATCAGGGACAGCCCCGTTGAAGAGACCCCGAGGCGCAGGAGCTCTCTGCTGAAAAGAAGAAGGAGGAGGATTTTGCTCAAAATGAAGTTTCATCACCCAGGAAGGAAATGACAGAGTCCCCAAGTACAGACCAGGGTTATTTTTTTCCCCTGTTGCACAGAAAAGGCTTTTTCCACCCAATAATCAGCGCGACGCGAGCTCGTGTCTGTGTGAAACCTGCTCCTGACACTGGACGTGATTTCCTGGGCTCACTCCCCAATTATGACAATGATATTGTCAAAAAAGAGGTGTAAACAGGACGTAACGAGGCGTCACTCTGGACTGACACCCAACCAGGACCCTCACCCAGACCCTCAACAAGGTCGGACAGCTTGAAACAACTCCTGCGGTTTTTCTCCAGCACGTCCAGCTCCCAACGGTGCTGCCGGCCTCGGTGGCAATCGCTTTGCCCGTTAATGGAAAGCAGCTGCCCGCAAGGTGGAACGGAGCCCGGTGTGCACAGCGCTTCAGGGCAGGAAGCAACCAGCGAGCCCGAGGTGATGCACCTCGTCAGGGCTGACGATGCAGGCACAACACGAGGGGCTGTTCCTGGAGTCGCCGATCCTGAGGGACGTGACCGTGCAGGCCTGCCCGGGGGCTGTTGCGTGGGGAGAGGCGGGGCACATCTGGCGGCGGGGACCGCGTGCCGGATGCGCACGCCTGCTTGGCCCACGCCTGCTTCCTCCTGCGGTTGTCCCAAAACCACGAGGAATCAGAGCTGAGAGGTTGGTCTGGGGCTGGGCAGCGTCGGTAGTAGGGCGGCTGCGGCCCTGCTCCTCCATTTCCCCAGGAGGGTGAGGCCGAGCCCCAGGGTTGAGCCGGGGCCCTGGCTGGGGAGCAGCCCCGCACACTGACATTGCTCACAGAACCCCCCCAGTCTGCTCCCCAGCCCCTCAAGCTGCACCAAGATCTCCCAAATCTGCCCCTAAGCACCTAAATCTGCCTTCGGCCCCCCCCAAATCATCCTCAGGGACTCCCAAATCCACACCTAACCACCCAAATTTGCCCTGGGACCTCCCAAATCTGCCCCAAGACCCCAGTCCTGCCCCAGGGCCCCCCCAGATCTGCGCCTAACCACCTAATCTGCCCCAGGGGCCCCCAGTCCTGCCCTAGGACCCCCCCAGAACTGCACCTAACTACCCAGATCTGCTCCAGGGCCCCCCAAATCTGCGCTGGCCCCCTAAATCTGCCCCAGGAGCCTCTAAACCTGCCCCTAACCACCTGAATGTGCCCCAGGGCCCCCCAAATCTGCCTCAGGACCTCCCAGATCTGCCCTAGGGTCCACCAAATCTGCACCTAGCCAGCTAAAGCTGCCCCAGGAGCCTCCAAATTTGCCCCAGCCCCCCTCATCTGCCCCAGGCCACACAGCGGTGCATGGTGGGAGCCCGGCTCTCCTCAGGGGGCGGCCGCGGCCCCCCGGGCTGAGGGAAGACGATGAGGGGGCGGGCGCTGGTCCGCGCCGGCCAATGAGAAGTTAGAACGCCGGGCGCCGGGAGGGGAGCAACCAATTAGCGGAGAGGATTCCGGGAGAGGCGGGGCAAGGCTGCCGTTCGCCAGGACCCCGCCCCGCGGGCGGCCGAGGCGCTGCCTGAAGCCC